GACCCTGCAGTTCAAACGGCTTTGCAGTCTGGCGCATTAACCCACAGCGCCACACCAGGAGCACATTAGAAAGCTCAAAAAGTAAATCAGGAAAGAGTTTTACCTTGTGGGCATATTTATATATGCATTTATGTTGGTTTTATGGAAAATGTTTTTGCCCTTATAACTAACTACACGGATTTTTAGAAAAATTATAAATTTCTGCTGAAACACTGCACACAAATTTATAGATAGTCATCTTCTCATCCGACAGTGTCACTGGGTGCGGTCCTCCTGCCTCTCCCCTCCCTATGACGCCAGTGCGGTGGCACTCAGTTCCAAAGGTCAACGTCTGTCTTGTGCCTACAGGCCAGGCTTCAAGTCAGCTGGGTAATTTCTACCTTTGCCCCAAAGTCCGGCAATTGTAGAGTTAATCAAAGGCCCCGCCCCAGACAAGAAGGTCATGTATCTGGGGCGTGGCCGGAGTTCCGTGCGGCCGGGCGTCTCGCGTCTCTACGCAAGCGCGCGGCGCAGAGGGGACGGGGTCGGATTCAGAAATGGCGGCCTGCATGTTCTACAGCCGGCAGTTGGCTACCGCCACCCTTAGGAGCCATGGTTCCCGGACGGCGCTGCGGGCCGCCGCCCAGGTATTACGGCTCAGTCTGTTCTCTCCCCTGAGCTGGCAGGAGAAAGGGCTAGGTGGGAGAGCTGACGCTTATGGACAAGGTTTGAGGGGACACGAGCCCCGGTTCGCGGTCACTTCTCTTGCGGTGACATTTCCCAGGTGCTCGGCCGGGCCTGCGGGAGACTTGCCCGGAGTGCTGGCGCCGAGGAGCGAGCCGGCCCATGTTTGCACCGCTCCTGTCTAGCACTCTGCCCGCCGGCAGCCCCTGCGACCCGTGTGATCCTGCCCAGTGTTGGAGCCGGCGGCGGGGGCCCGGGTGGGTTCTGAACCGAGCTCTGCCCCGGGAGTCGCTCCGTGCCGCCATTCCCGCGCCCGGCGCCCTGAGCCAAGGCTTTCGGAGCCCTCTTTGGGGAGGGGAAGATGCCCTTCACATGTACTTTGGAGTCCCTTGGGAGCTGTCATTCCTGAGAGTTACTGGAGAGCACCTGCGGTGCTTGCTGACTTGCCTTTTCTTAGGCGAGCTAGGAAATGGTTTTCCTTTCTCCAGTAGTTGTGTGACTTGCTGTGCTTTTTAAAGAGTGGTAATGAGTGGCTTTCCAGTCTACTAAGTGGGGAAGTAAGAAAATAATCTTTCGGATCACTTCCCCTTTGGATAGACCACGGTTCCGGGACGGCGCTGCAGAACAACTAGACGCAGTTTTTCGTTTGTTAAGCACTATAGGGTCGCTCTGGTAGCTTAGTGGTTACGAATCGGGCTGTGAATCGCTAGGTCAACAGTTCGAAACTACCAGTTGTTCCGCGGGAGAAAGATGAGGCTTTCTGCTTCCGTAAAGATTTACAGCCTTGGAAACCCTGTACGGGGTCGCTATGAGTCAGAACCGACTCCACGGCACATAACAACAACAAATAGGGTCGCTATGAGTCGGAACCGACCGGACGGCACATAACAACAACAAACATGTAATCTCAAAATTTCCAACACCACAGCCCAGGAATCATCAACACCTTTATGGATGCTAAAGAAACTGTGGCTAAAAGATCAAGTAATTTGGGCTGAGCCACATAAGGTCAAAGCTGAAGTTTAATTTCAGAACTGTCAGCCTCCAGAGCCGGTGTGTTCTACCACTTCTTCTGAATTGTAAGAATTGGTTTCCTTGTCCCAAAGTTGACAGCTTGAAGTTTGAGTATCGAGTAACTTCTTAGATGTGCCATTTGGGAATTGATTCAGGACTCCCCACCCAATTTTTTCTCTCGCTCAAAGTTGTTTAATTTCAGCATAGAGGTAATTAATCATTTCTATGAATTTGCTCCTAATATGAGATGTGATTTATATACGTATATATTTGTTGTTGTTAAGTGCTGTGGGTCGTTTCCGACCCATAGCAACCCTGTATAGGGTTTCCAAGGAGCGACTGGTGAGCTTGAACCACTGACTTTGTGTGACTTTGCAGTGTGACGCATTAACCCACAGTGCCACACCAGGAATATATATGTTGTTATGTACAGTGTAGTCGTGTCCGACTCATAGCGACCCTGTACAGGGTTTCCGAGGCTGTAAATCTTTACAGAAGCAGAAAGCCTCATCTTTCTCCCGCAGAGCAGCTGGTAGTTTAGAATTGCTGATCTTAAGGTTCGCAGCCTGATTCATAACCATTAGCAAGGTCAGCAGTTCGAAACTACCAGCGGCTCCGTGGGAGAAAGATGAGGCTTTCTGCTCCCGTAGAGATTTACAGCCTCGGAAACCCTGTACAGGGTTGCTATGGGTCAGAACCGACTCCACAGCACACAACAGCAACAACAACAATGCTACCAGAGCTCCTTAATGAAGTCATTGGTCTTGCAAAATCATATCATGCAATCTTCAGCATTCTTTTTATTACTAAGGCCATATTTTCCAGCTACTGATCCTTCATCTTTGTTTCCAAGGTTTGCATTCCAATCACCAGTAATTATCGATGCATCTTAATTGCAAGTTACAATTTTCCAACCAGTGATCCTTCCTGCTTGTTTCCAACCTTTGCATTCCAGTTGCCAGTAATTATCAACACATCTTGATTACATGTTTCATCAATTGCATACTGGAAAAGATGATAGAATTCTTATATTTCATCATCACTGGCTTTAGTGATTGGTGTGTATATTTGAATAATACTGGTATGAACTGGTCTTTCTTGTAGGCATATGGATATTATCCTGTCACAGACAGCTTTGCACTTTAAGACAGATCTTGATGTATTCTTTTCCATGATGAATGTGGCACCATTCCTCTTCAACTTGTTATTCCTGGCATAATAAACCATGTGATTGTCAGATTCAAACAGCCAATACCAGTCCATTTTAGCTCACTAATACCTAGGAAATCCATGTTTATGTATTACATTTCATTTTTGACAATTTCCAATTTTCCTAGATTCATACATTTTATGTTCCAATTATTAATGGCTGTTTCTTTTCATTTTGAGTTGTTCCCCGTCAGCAGTTGAAGGTCCTGAAGGCTCTACTCCATTCATATCATCATGGTCAACTCTACTTTGAAGAAGCAGTTGTGTTTTGAGTGCCTTCAAATGAGGGGCTCATTTTCTGGCGCTATATCTGATAATACTCAGGCATTAACAGTGTTTCACTGCTATTCATAAGGTTTTCAGTGATTAAATATTTGCAAGTAGTCTTGTCTCTCTCCTTCTTCCTAGTCTTTGTCCGGAAGCTCAGCTGAAACCTGTCCACTGTGGTTGACCCTGCTGGTTTTTAAAATATCTATGGGATAGCTTCCAGAATTACAGCCACATGTAAGTCACCACAGTATGACAAATTGACAGATGTGGTGGCTGTCCATATGGACATGCCTAATATATTGGGTTTGTCTTCATGAAAACTGATTTCCCATTGATTAAAAAGAATATAGTGTTAGAGTTTGGAAGCACCTTTGTCTAATTTCTTGCTTTTGTGGATGAGGCCACAGCAGAGTTGAAGAAAACTGGTCACACACTGAGTTTAGCAAATTCTCTTCAACATTTAGGTTCTGATTCTTGTTCAATTTCTTTGTGTCTTTCTTCCCTTATATCTTTGATGAAAATAGTTCAGGTTGCAAACAGATTAAATAATTAAGGGATTTGTGTGTGTGTGTGTGATTGTGGATGACACTCCCCACTAATTTTCCCACTTTTGTGTAGTGGGCTGCAAGGTCGTGTGAATTGCAAGGTCGGTGGTTCAAATTCACCAGTCGCTCCTTGGAAACCCTATACAGAGTTGATATGAATTGGAACCAACTCGACGGCACTTACCAACAACAATAACAAACTAGTGTATTTGGTTGGGTGGTGGTGGTGTGGGGATTTAGTTAGAAATAAGTGGCCTTTTGGCAGGAGGAAGCTTCTAATTGTTAGTATCAAGAAAGATGGATAGTTTAGGTTGCTTGTTAAATGCCGTTGAGTCTATTCTGACTCATAGTGACTTATGAGGACTCCCGTGATTGTTCAGGAGTTAATATTATCAACATAGTTCAAATGTGGCATTTCAAGGTATTCTGGTGGTAGAATGAAAGGATTATCAAAATGTTCCAGATAGCAAAAAGCCTGTAAATTGTCGTCAAAGCTGTGAGCAATACCACATGAGTACAAACTCTATGGAAATACAGGCTTCGAAAGAAACATTGTAAGGGTTTTGTGGTCATGGTTTCTCTCAACATTTTTTTTTTTTTTTTCCATCATTTTTAGATAGAAGTTGTTAGGCTCATTTTACACCAGTGTTGCCTTCACCTTAAGTAACATTTTGCCCCATTTGCTTTTTCTTTAAAAAGTTATGTGTGTATATGTGGTAACGTGTGTGAACACATGTGTATGTATATAAAATATACATTCGGTCGTTTTTGCTGAACCATTTGAGAATAATTTCCAGATATTGTGACACTTCACCCTAAGATAATTTCATTATTAATCTCTTTACAAGAACACTCTTCCAAATGGTCACAATACAGTTGTCATACTTAGGAAACCTTACATTGATATCATATGAATACCTTATATATAGTTTGGAGTCTTGTGTGGTGCTGTAGGGTAAGCACTGGACTGCTAACCCCAAGGTTAATGGTTCAAAACCACCAGCTGCTTCTCGGAAACCCTATACATGGCCCCTATAAGTGGAAACCTCCTTGACAGCACTTAACAACTACAACAGTATACAGATTCAGATTTTCCCAGCCAAGCCCCAAACCTACTGCTGTCCAGTTGACTCCGATTCGTAACGACTCTAAGATAGAGTAGAACTGCTCCATAGGGTTTCTGAGACTGTACTTCTTTACTGAAGCAGATTGCCTCATCTTTCTCCCTCAGAGCAGCTAGTGGGTTAGACCTACCAACCTTTTGGTGCGCTGCCCAGTGCTTAACTTACTGTGCCACCAGGGCCCCTCGTTTTTCCAGTAGTCCCCAAAGTATCCTTTAGAAATGTGACTTTCTTTATTGATTACTCACCTAGCTAAGTAGATGGCACCTAGTGCCTGAGTCTAAGATTGCTCTTGTACGTATTGTTTATTTACAAGTCTGTCTTAATCTATTTTTGCCCCTTAGCACCTAGCAGGGAATCCTGGTGTAGCACTCACTATAAGATAGGAGTCCTGATGTGGGGCTGTGGGTTAATGCACCAGACTGCAAAGCCGCAAGGTCAGCTGTTCCAGCTCATCAGCTGCTGCTTGGAAACCCTATTCAGGGTCGCTGTGGGTCAGAACCAACTCAACCGCGCTCAGCATCAACAACAACGGCTTAGTCTATTTTTGCTCCCTAGCACCTAGCAGGGAATCCTGGTGTAGCACTATAGGATAAGCACTTGACTGCTAACTGCAAGATCGATGGTTCAGATCCAACAACTGCTTCTTAGAAATCCAGGGTTTCCATGTTAGGATTATTGGGGGTGGTGGTGTACCGTGTCCGACTCATAGCGACCCTGTACAGGGTTTCTGAGGCTGTAATTCTTTACGGGAGCAGAAAGCCTCATCTTTCTCCTGTGGAACAGCTGGTAGTTTCAAACTGCTGACCTTGTAGTTAGCAGCCCAGTTCATAACCACTACACTACCAGAGCTCCTAATGATTATTAGTGGATATTTTCAGCTGTGTGTGTGTTTTTTTTTTTAAACAACAGTAGCACTTAGTAGTGTCTATTGTAAGTTGTTATTAGGTACCATCAAGTTGGTTCCTACTCAAAATGACCCTGTGCAAAACAGAAGAGACACTGGTGCCATCCTCACAAACATTGCTGTGTTTGAGCCATTGTGTTGATCCATCTCTATGAGGGTCTTCCTCTCTTGGGCCGACTCTCTCACAAACATCATGTCCTCCAGGGCCTGATACCTGCTGATAACATGTCCAAAGTATATGACATGAGGTTTCTCGATCCTCACTTCTAAGGAACATTCTGTCTGTACTTTTTCCAACACAGATTTGTTTGTTCTTTTGGCAGTTCATGGTATATTCAGTATTCTTGGCCAACACTACAATTCAAAGGCATGGATTCCTCTTTGGTCTTCCTTATTCACTGTCCAAGGTGCTCTGGTTGTTGTTGTTGTTAAGTACTGCCGAGTTGGTTCCAACCCATAGTGACCCTGAACAGGGTTTCCAAGGCTGTAAATCTTTATGAGAGCAGAAAGCCTCCTCTTTCTCCCGTGGAGCCGCTGGTAGTTTCGAACTGCTGACCTTGTGATTCGCAGCCCGATTCGTAACCACTATGCTACGGAGCTCTGGTAGCGTAGTGGTTATGAATCGGGCTGCGAACCGCATTCGAAACTACCAGCTGTTTCACAGGAGAAAGGGGAGGCTTCCTGCTCCCATAAAGATTTACAGCCTTGGAAACCCTGCATAGGGTCGCTATGAGTCGGAACCAACTCCATGGCACACAGCCACCACCACCATTCATTGTCCAGTTTCTCATGCATATGAGGTGATTGAAAATACCATGACTTGGATCAGACATATCTTAGTCTTCAAAGTGGTTTCTTAAAAGTTACCACTTTTGCAGCATATTTGCCCAATGCAGTACGTTGTTTGATTTCCATGGGCTTTGATTGTGGATCCAAGTAAAATGAAATCTTTGGCAACCTTATTATTTTCGCCATTTATCATGTTTATTGGCCCAGTTCCGAGGATTCTGGTTTCCTTTATATTGAGGTATATCCAAACTGAAGGCTGTAGTCTTTGATCTTCTTCAGCAAGTGCTTCAAGTCCTCTTTGCTTTCAACAAGCAAGATTGTGTCATCTGCATATTGTAGATGGTTACTAAATCTTCCTCAAATTTTGATGCTGTGTTTTTCTTCATATAGACTAACTTCTCTGATGATTTGCTCAGCATATAGATTGTAGTTCATCAGCCCTCCTCCTTGGTCTTTCTGAGTCTGGAAGCTCCACTGAGACCTGTTCACCATGGATGACCCTGCTGTCTTTGCTGTGCTGGTAGCATAGCTTCCAGCATCATAGCAACATGTACGTCACAGGACAACCAAGTGACAGATGGGTGGTGGAGATACTTCATACCCCTCCCCCTGCCCGATTTTATTATTTTAAAGTATAATTTATATAATGTGTACTCACTGGCGCCTGGGTGGCTAAGTGGGTAAAGCATTGGGCTGCTCACCAATAGGTTGTCAGTTTGAATCCACCAGCCACTCTGTAGGAGAATGATGGGACAGTTAACTTGAGTAAAGATTTACAGCCTCAGAAACCGTAAGGAGCAGTTCTCTGTTCTCTAGGGTTGCTGTGAGCTGGAGTCTACTTGGTTGCTGTGGGGTTTGACAGTGTACTCAAGTGGATCCTTAGATTACACCTGTATACACGTGTGTAGCTCCAGCCAGATCGAGATGGAGAACATTGTCAGCCCCGCACCCCATATCTCTATCTATCTATCTATCTATCTATCTATCTATCTATCTATCTATCTATCTATCTATCTAATCTCTATCCTCCTTTTCCATAGAAGATTAGCACTAATTCTGACTTCTATCAACATATGTTCAGTTGGATTGTTTTGAAATATATGAAATGGGGTTATATAACATGTATTCTTGTGTCAGATTTCTTTTACTCAACATTATGTTTAAAATCTTTTTTTATTGATAACTGTGTGGTTTACAGAGCATGTAATCAGATTTACATTCAACAATTCATAACATTTTGCTTCATGTCATTAATTGCAGTCCCCACATTGTGATATCACTTATCCCACTTCTTTCCCAGCCCTCTGAACTGTGTCCTTGGGTGGTGGTGTTGTTATGTGCCGTGGAGTGAGTTCCGACTCATAGCGACCCTGTACAGGGTTTCCGAGGCTGTCAATCTTTACAGGAGCAGAAAGCCTCATCTTTCTCCCGCGGAACAGCTGGTAGTTTCAAACTGCTGACCGGGAGATTAGCAGCCCGACTCGTAACCACTACGCTACCAGAACGCTGCCTGTTTGATCTCAAATGGTTGATCATTCTAAGGTTTATGGACCTCACTAGTGTTATTGTTCCCCTTATATGTGTATCTATAAAATGGAACTGTAGGCCTGAGTTCAGTTCCAGACCTAAATGGTGACTAAGGACCACAGTCTCAGATGTTCCGCCAGTCTCTGTCTGACCGACCAGTAAGCCTGGTCTTTTTTATGATTATGAGTTTTGTTTGACATTGTTCTCCTACCTTATCCATGACCTTCTAATGTGATCACTTTCAGAGCAGTTGGTGGTCATAGCTGGGCATGATCTACTTCCAGAATTTCAGTCAGTGAGAACCCTGTAGAACTCATTCAGCTCTAACACAGATGAGGTTATCAGGAGTTGGAGTTACTTCAGCTGCCTCACCTACTCCCCATCAACCAGTGACTGAATACATGCTGCCAGTGGAAAAGGGGCGTAGCTTTTGACAATGAGGCTCCAAGAAGGCATTCAGCTGATTGCTGGTAACTCAAACGACCCCTCTTACCCCTTGCTGATGAGTTGATTCATTGAGACCCTATAGGACAGTGGAGAACTGGCCTTTAGGGTTTCCGAGGCTGTCCTCTTTATGGAATTGACTGTCACATCTTTCTCCTGTGGAACTGCTGGTGCATTTGAGCCACTGATCTTTGGGTTAGCAGACAAATATTTAACCACTGTACCACCAGGGCTCCCATGGAGATAGCATAGTAAAATTCAAATGAAGAATAATGACTAGAGATGGATGCTTAACTGGTAGTATAGCCTTTAGATTTATGTTGTAATCATGAACTCTGACTATTGTATTTTGATGATTTGATATGTTTTGTTACAGTTTTGAAGAGCCTTGTACTGTATATAAACAAAGTATTTTGAGACGGGACTTTTAACAAGATTAACTGTCTCCAATTTCCCTAGGTTCTGGGAAGCTCTGGATTGTTAAACAACCATGGGCTCCAAGTACAGCAGCAGCAGCAAAGGAATCTGGCACTACATGAATACCTGAGCATGGAGTTGTTGCAGGAAGCCGGTATCTCTGTTCCCAAAGGACAAGTGGCAAAATCACCAGATGAAGCTTTTGCAATTGCCAAAAAACTAGGTACTCAATTAAAAAAAAAATTTGTGCTACCTTGACATGGGAACTTTATAAGAAATGAACTTTACTGCAGTTTCATGATAATTTTCATGTTTTATTTTTTCAGAATACATTTTATTTACTAAAAAGAGAAGGTAAAACCCTGTGACTGTTGAAATTCTAAAATTACTATGAGATAGAGGTTAGTTAACTCAAAAGTTATTTATCTTGGTATTAAAAAGCTGAAGTCGTGTTTTACATTGGAGTAAGAATTACGGGGAAGAAAATTTGATTTACTGCTTTGTAGCCTAAAAGTATGATGACTGTAGTGTCTACTCAGGGAAATGATGAAGAAAATCTTAGCAGTTTGTATGGTTATAAATAGAGGTCTAATATTCACCCCCTTTTTAATGACAGTGTGCAGTGCTGACTTGATAGGTTGGTGGTTCAAAGACACCATACCTCCTCCAACTAGAAAGCTGAGCAGTCTACTGTCATGAAGAGGGCAGCCTTGGAAACCCCATGAGGCAGCTCTCCTCTGGGTTTTTAATGACCCGATAAATACGGGTCTAAAAGGAGAAAATGGAAGCTATGAAAGCAGATTTCCTCAGTCTTACTTTGTATATGGGTCCAAAAGGTGGGAAAAAAAGGAACACTAGACTCAGGCAAACCGATTTTCTCTCTCTGTTTACTCATATAGCTCCAAGTCTTAGAAGAGTGTCTGACACTTAGGCCATCTATAAATAGTAATATTTTTTAAATGAATTAAGTAGCTTCTCCTGTTTATTTGTAGGTCATTTTATTAGACAGGTATTTTAATCTCATTTATTTGCATTATATTAATATCTTAATTTTGAAAATCAATTCTTTAGAAAATATACTTCAGTTTCTTTTTAAGGACTTAATACAAGATAGTAGTGAGGCAGTATAATATCCTCATTTTCTTTTCAGCAGTATTTTAAACCAAATGTTGCATAATTAATTGTTGTTGTTATGTACCGTGGAGTCGGTTCCGACTCATAGCGACCCTGTACAGGGTTTCCGAGGCTGTAAATCTTTACGGGAGCAAAAAGCCTCATCTTTCTCCCACGGAACAGCTGGTAGTTTCGAACTGCTGTCCCTGAGGTTAGCAGCCTGAATTGTGTAACCACTACGCTATCAGAGCTCCTTAATTAATTTAGCACAGTTAAATAAATTAGTACAATTAATCACTTGTATGCATGTTTGATTAATATGGTTTCAAATGTACTTTAGTGAAAACTTAGCTTTTAGTTTTTCAAGAAAGAACTAGCAATTTAAAAGATATTTAAAGTAAAACAAAAAATTTCATCCTAGTATGTATTTATTTGTTTCTAGAATAGGTATTTCTGTAAAAAATGAATACATGTACAAGTTATGAAAATTCTTATGTATTATTAGCTATGCTTTTTCTATTTCTTTAACTTTTTATTATAAATTGAGTGAAAATTTACAGACAAGAGATCATCAACTTTACATTCAATAAATTATACACTGTGTTTCAGCTCAATAATTACAACCTCCTCCCTGCAACAAGTTAACCTACTTCTTCTCCATGCCTTTTTTACATCTTATATTTTCACAAATGAACAAAGCAAAAATATTTGATGGACACATACAAAACAAAAAATGTATATTCATTTAAATGTCCAAAGGACACATTCCACAAGCCAGCTTCCTGCCCACAGGCACACAGCCTTACTTATTAGTCCTTGGCCCAGAGCCCGGAACAGCTCTGTCTCTCCATGCCACCACCTCTTCTGTCGCCACTTTTCTAGGTAGGGATCTCACGCTCTACTCATGCTCTTCTTGATGGTCCTGCGATTGTTCCTGAAATGAAAGTTAACTACTCCTCCCTTTTAGTTACACATCTTCTAATAACTACAGTTGTGACAATTGCAATTAATCCTGATAACAGTTTCTCACAATTGAATCTTAAAATCCTATCACCATCATTCACCATCCCCTTTCACCAGATCATTGTGAAAAAGAGGGAAACTATATAGTGAGGATTCTACCTTACTCCACCCCTCCCCACCTCCATTCTGAAACTAAGCACACTCATGAAAGCTTCTTAACCATCCACTTCATGCCTTAATAGCCCCCTGCCATTTTTGATAACCAATGTCTAAATTGCCCATCCCTATCGACCGAGGCTGCGAACCTTAAGGTTAGCGGTTCGAAACTACCAGCTGCTCCGCGGGAGAAAGATGAGGCTTTCTACTCCCGTAAAGATTTACACCCTCGGAAACCCTGTACAGGGTTGCTATGGGTCGGAACCGACTCGATGGCACTTAACAACAACAACAATCGACTGAGGAAGTGGAGTACTGGTGTGACGCTGTGGGTTAACTTCAAAGTTGGTTCGAACCGTAAGCTCAGTGGTTCAAACTCACCAGCCGCTCTTTGGAAACCCTATATAGGGTCACTATGGGCCAGACCTGACTCAGCAGCACTTAATAACAACAAATTGACTGAGGAAACAAGCTTGTTCCATGTTATGAAGAATCCTTCCTTCCATTCTGGTTTGAATTTTGAGCAATTGCATCCATCAGTAAAAGTTTAGTTCATTGAATTGTAGCAATTTGCTCTTGTTCACAATATCAGATGTCTTTATCTTCATCTGGTTGAGTTCTGATCAGCTAGCCATCCAAGTTAGGTCAAATGGGTACTAGCAGCAAGTTTGGGAGTTCACACACACCTCCTTGCACTTCAGATCAGCTGGCTACTTCATTCTCAGCCCTAGCTCCAAGGATAGGTCAATGCCCATGGGCTCAGGAGTTCACACATCTCTGGAAACAGCTTTTGAATGCAGTGACCCTGATGCTGTGAATTAGAAGTGTGATTTTGTGGGGTTTTTTTTCATTTGCAATTATTTCGCTACTAATCAGGAAAAAATGTTTTTATTCATATTGTAACTGATTTCTTTTAAGTCAGCAAAAGCCTTGGAATAGTTCATATTAATTTCTGTGAAATTTTAATTAATGGTGGCTAAGTGGTTTGAACTTGTGCATGGTACAAGTTTTACCTTTAAAACATGAAAAATTAGAGGCTCTTCAGTGTTAAGGTTGAAAGAACACTAATGATCATACTCTGCGTTATTTATCACAAAGGCTGCTATTTAGTAGCAACTTCCTTGAGAGTTCAGTCTTTTGTGACCTTCAAATTAACTTTTAAGTATGACGCAGCAAAATAGGAAGGAAGAGTTTGAAGTGTAATTGAGAAAGTATAAGGTTTCCTCATCCTTCCCTACTTTTTCCTGAGTGACAAATTTGAGGCCATTTTACTTTTTCATATCTTTCATGTGTGGTCCTGGAGAAGCAATGCAGTGTTGTATAAGGATGCACTCTCTAGGCTGAGAAATAGTGAAAGGGCTGGTACAGAAACTGAAGTGGCAATGTAAGCCACTGAGGGCGCATCATTTACACAAGCTTTCTGGACCTTTGTAAACCTTTCATCTGTGTAATTATTCCTGCCTTTGTCATTTGTGTTTATGGCTCTCCAAAGATTATTGGCTCTTCAAAAATTTCATGGAAAAATTTTCATTATCTTTGAGTTCCACTGACTTTTTGAAGCTCCCTCATATTTAACTTTAGTTTGCAACTAACTTAAATTTGGTGTCTGATATATACTATACTATTTTTTTTAAGTGCATTTTTATTGTAAAAATCCATATAAAATGGATGTATACAGCCTATTTGCTTCTGTTAAGAGGATTGACATTTCATTGTGAAGCTGTGAAATACAATATCTTTTAAAATTACATAATTGATATTATTTTATTTTGGTACTTGAATCTCTTGAATTGATGCTTTTTTGTTATTGTTATTACTATTTTTCCCTTTGTCATAATGCTGAGAGTACTATTTTTTTTCCATGCCTGTATTTGTTGTTGTTGTTGTTGTTAATGACGTCAAGTCAGTTCCATCTCATAGTGACCTTGTGCAGAGTTTCCTAGGAGTGCTTGGTGGGTATGAACCACTGACCTTGCGGTTAGCAGTCCAGCGCTTATCCTACAGCACCACATTTAGAGGACCTCATTATAATGAGAGCCTTGGTGTGGTGCTGTAGGGTAAGCGCTGGACTGGCAACCGTAAGGTCAGTTGTTGAAATCCACCAGCTGCTCTGCAGGAGAAAGATGAGACTTTCTGCTTCTGTAAAGATTTGCAGCCTTGGAAACCTCATACAGGGTTGTTATGAGTCAAAACCAACATGATGGCACTTAATAACAACAGAAGCCATCTAGCTGGCAATTTTCAGTGCTGAGGTTTGATTAGCCTCTGGTGATTTTAACTTTTTGAGTTATTGTAGAAAGTCCTGGTGTACTACAATGTCAGCAGTTCAAATCCACCAGCTGCTCCTTGGAAACCCATACCGGCATTTAATAGCATCAAAATTCACAAAATGTTTATTTCCATTACTTTAAAAACTTCTCTAGGACTCTGTTCAACAACCAATATATTGTAGCACAAATGGATTACAGGTGTGCCTTTTCCCTTGCACTAGGTACCAGGAGCGACTGAGGTAGCATGGAGCCTAGGGCCATTGAGCCCTACAACTGGTTGACTAGCCTCTGCAATAACCCTGTTTTCCCTCCTCTTCCAGACAGATTCTATCATTTGTGTGTGTGTGTCATTGATGTCAAAAAAAATTGGGAAGTTCTATTCTGGAGGCAAATTTTACTTGTGAATAATTGAGGTTAGAAATGGAAGTATAGTTAGAAAAAATAGAAATCCAATATTTTTACAAACATGGAAAGCATAAAAGAGTCCACAAAATGACATCTGGTGACCTTCATGATAATGGGGAGGATTTTAGAATGATTCACGAAAGAGATGATTGGTAAACACAGAGAAACAAAATTGTTATATTTTGGGGTCTTTTCTGAGAGCACATTACTGTCTTACAGTTCCTAAATGAGAGAGAGAATTTCTGTAAGGTGGTTAGTAGAATTTCTCACAAGTTTGGAGAAATGTACTTTGGATTTTAGTGCAATTAAGGTAGACGTTGAATGGCGTCTTAGTGTGGCACCATAGGATAAGCACGGGATCTTAAGGTCAGTTTGGACTGTTAAGGCTGGCGGTTCAAACTCACCAGCTGCTCTTTATACGGAAACCCTATACTGAGTCTCTGCGAGTCAAAACTGACTTGATGGTACTTAACAACAACTCTAGTTGGATAAATATATGCAAATGGTGCTGATTAGTGAATGTCAGCCAGGAAAGAGACTCCTAAATAGAGAACAATAATACTTTGTCTTGGCTTTCTTCTTTCAAATATTTATTAAATGTAGGAGGGACATAGAGTGAATATATTTTAAATACTGCTTGGGATCAAGACAGTATGTCTTGTATATCAAGACCTTGTGTCTAAAACAAAGGCCCAAATGAGGTTATAAGTTCTATGTGGGCTTGTCATATCTATAGCTACTATACAGTATCTGATATGTAGCAGGACCAGTGAATGATTGAATGGAATTAACAAAGCATTTGCTACAATCAGTGATCTTCTAGGCTTTATCTGCTTCTTGATAGTTATTGATGGTATGTTATTGTTATTATTATCATGATCATTTTGCTTTTTTTTAAATGTTTTTATTGTGAATTGAGTAAAAGTTTACAGGGCAGATCATCAGTTTTACATCCAGCAAATCATACACCTTGTTTCATTACAATGATTATAATCCCCTCCATGTACCATCAGTTAACAGTATTTCTCTCTATTCATTTTAGTTCTTTTGAAAAAAATTTTTTTAAACACTCAGGTGTATATAATAGTTTACACCACCAAAGGGCACATTCTGCAAGTCGGCCTCCTGGCCGCCAACTCTCAGTCCCTCTCTTTACATAAATCTAGAGTCCTCAGCTGCTCCCTATTTTGCTTTGCTTGACTTGTGGAGGGCATTTTTGGAAAGACCTAAAAGAGTTTATTATATTCCTAAAGAAAGGAAATTGACATGGTTGGGGAAGAGCCTCAGTCTTGTAAAACGGTTTTGAAAAATAGAGCTTCCTTGATCTTCTGTAATAGGCCAGTATATTAAGATCCTAGAGACCGGGTGGCTCTGTAGGACAAACACTGGACTGTGAGCTGCGAAGTTGGCGGTTCAAACCTACCAGCTTCTTCATAGGCAAAAGATGAAGCTTTTTCTGCTCCTGCAAAGATTTACAGCCTCGGAAACCTTAGACAGGGTCTCTGTGAGTCAGAACCGCCTCGTTGGTACTTGACCACATGGTAAGTTCCCAAGGAGCTCAGGTGGCACAACAGTAAACACTCTGCTGCTAGTACAGTGGTTGAGTGCTTGGATATACCCAGCAGCTGTACAGGAGAAGTACCTGGTGATCTGTTACTGTGAAGATGGACAGGCTAGAAATTACCCTTGGGGGACAGTTCCACTCTCTTAACTTGAGTTCGCTATGAGTCAGCTCGGTGGCACCTAATGATAACACAGTGTTCTCAGTTTAATGAATTGGACCATCGATTGACTTTAACCTAGTAAAGCACTGGGTTAAATATTAACCATATTAATACTACATTTGTACTGTGTGGATTACAGTTACCTTTGGATATATATGCATATTTCTAAAGTAGTGGAAAAGGATTTCAGTGTGGAGTTGCAGATCAAAATTTTGTAAGCAGAAACTAACAGGGGGCTGCTTCCTTTTAGGTAAGGCATGAACTATCTAATTTGCCATAGTACTTGAGATTACTTGTTGTTTTCTCATTAAGAATATACTGTTGCTTTTATGAAAGAAAGCCCTAAATGTTCTCTAGCCTCCATCGTCTGTTAGTTGTTGCACTTGGAGACAGTGACGACTGGCAAATTGAGATAGGCCTACCGTGTCTGGACAAGGTGCTTCTCCTAATCAGCTCTAGGTGTGGGAGTGGGAGCTCAGTCTTTTCAGTTCTGAGTTTTTACTCAACAGCAGTGGAAAGTCTAGATTTAGAAGAATTCTATTTTTAAATGTATCAACATTTAGCAAAATATGTCCTAAGAACTCATAGAAACTTGGAAACATGAACCCAAGGATTATAGGATTATATTATAGGAATATAATGAATAGTGAATGTGAGGAAATGATATGTTAGAAGAGGATAAATTGATGGGAAAAAGTAGAACAGAGAAAAGGGATTGATTGGTCTGCAGTCTAAGCCCATTGATATTTGAGAAAACTTGAAGCAGGTGAGGGTCTTTTCCAAATGGACACCTAGTAGAAAAGGATTCTAGGCAGGGGAGCCTGAGAACTCAGCCAAGGCCCGGTGAGGAGCCCGTGTGTTGGAGTGGCGTGTGGAGTGTGATGAAAGGGGAAGTGTTTTGGGATGATTGCAGGCCGTTGGAAGATCCTGGCTTTTCCTCTGAATGAAGTGGTCATTTGGTGCAGGTTTGCAGTTATGGAGTGATGTGCTCACTTTCACTTTGGCTGCTGCTTTGAGACTGGTCTGCTGAGGACACGGGTAATTTAGATAAGAGGTAATATCAGAATTTTCTCCCAAATTATTGTAATTTTCTATTCCCAGTAGCACTTATAATTCATATTCTTAGAAAATTTGTATCTAGAAGGGGGTGAAAATGTTAGGAAGACATTTGAGTCTCAATTTTTTATAATACCTGGACTACAAGGTCTCTTTGAACAGCAAGATCAATGGTTCAGGTCTACCAGGTGCTCCTTGGAAACTCTAGACAGGATTGCTATGAGTCAGAATCGACTTGATGACACTTAACAACAACAATAACAACAAAGTAATAGAGTGGAGTCCTGATGTGGCACTGTAGGATAAGCACTGTACTGCTAACAGTAAGGTCGGTGGTTCCAAGAAACCCTGTAAAAGGTTGCTGTGAGTTGGAACTGACTCAACAACACTTAATAACAACAATAGCAAAGTAATAGAGACTTAAGGTACCTAGAAAAGGTTATTTTTAATATTCTTTAAAAAAACAGTTTAATATGAGGAGCTAATTTTTTTTAAAAGTTGTAGATTACTAGATGGTGAGTATTCTAATCTGCCAGAAAAATCTACACACTTAAAATACCTCATTTTTGGATGTTGTGGATAAATGAGACTTTATTGTATTTAAAAATACCTCTTAAAAATCAAAGATCCATGGAAAAAATTGTCCATTGGACTAATGGACCATATGCATGAACATCAGTCTCCATGACCCTGAGACCTAAAGAATTAGATGGCGCCAGCTACCACTACCAACTGCTCTGAACAACGGGGATCCTATTAGAAGCTCCTAACTGCAAAGTCGGCTTTCTGTTCTTGTGAAGATTTACACCCTCGGGAAGCTATATAGGATTGATGTGAGTTGGAATCAACTCTGTAGTAGTGATTTGGTTTTGGGTTTGGATAGAGTAGAAGAAAAATATGGAATGGAACTCAAAATCATCAAAAAGACCAGGTTCATTGGTTGGCCCTTAGACATCCTTCAAGTCTGGAGCTGAACTTAACCCCGTGTCTCAATTTTCTGCCAAGCAGTAGATAGGTATATGGGGGTGGGATGGGGAGGGTAGAGAACAACACTAGTGAGGTTTGTGCACCGTGGTGTAGTCAACCATTCAAGATCAAAAGGGCAGCATTCACAGGAAGAGACAATTGAGAAGGGTTGGGAATGAAAGAGGAATAGAAACCCTAAACCCGGAGAGTAGAATAGTGATGTTAACACTGAGGGGATTGTAGTCATTGTGATGAAACAAAATGTGTATGAATTGTCAAGTGTACAACTGATGCTTGCTCTGCAAACCTTCACCCAGTTCACAATAAAAAGTGAAACAAAAACACCTCTTAACATATATGCAGATGGACAAAATACTGTGTCTTGCATGCTGCTCAATGCTTCATATCTAATAGAAATCTATTTCTTCTAGGTTCAAAAGATGTTGTGATAAAAGCACAGGTTTTAGCTGGTGGTAGAGGAAAAGGGACATTTGAAAGTGGCCTCAAAGGAGGAGTGAAGATAGTTTTCTCGTAAGTCATATTTTTTTTAAGAAAAAAACATAAGATACCTTTCTCTTTTTTACTGAATTGATGAAAATACTGAGATTTAAGTATTGGATAAGATACTGGTTATTATTTGGATTCCTTGTTTTTTCCCCAATTGGAAGGAGAGTTTGAATTCTTTTTCTTATTTTAGTCCTGAAGAAGCAAAGGCTGTTTCTTCACAAATGATTGGGAAAAAGTTGTTTACCAAGCAAACTGGAAAAAAGGGCAGAATATGCAACCAAGTACTGGTCTGTGAGCGAAGATATCCCAGGAGAGAATACTACTTTGCAATAACAATGGAAAGGTCATTTCAAGTAAGTAATGGTGGACCTGATACATTTAGTATGAATGTGCTACTTCCACTGTCAAGTAGTTGATTACTGTTGCTGTTTACATGGGAAAGATAGAGCACAATACTTAACATCATTTTAAAAATCAGCATGACTAATGCTGTAAAATGGAGTTCTGGTATAGCATTTGTAGGATAAGCACTGGACCAAAAGGTCAGTTTGAACTGCAAGATCATCTATTCAAACCCACCAAGCTGCTCCTTGGAAACTCTGTAGCACTTAACAAATGCCGTAAAGTTTGATATATAACATGAGAAAGAAAACTATTGGCAAAATTCTGCTTAAATAAGTTGTGTGTGATTTTCAAATTGTTCATTCACTAAGAACAGCTAGAATCATTTCTGCTTTATGACTAGGTTCCAACCCTGGAAAAATAATTTCTAGCTCAGTAAAGTATTCTAGCCAAGGAGAAAGTCTCTAAGGGAATGTGTATCCATTGCTTGTTATTTTTCTTTTGAACCTCCTGGTACTTGTTTATAGGAGGCCTGGTGACACAGTGGTTAAGTGCATGCTGTTGACTGAAAGCTGGGTGGTTTGAACCCATCAGCTGTTCCTCTGTAGAAAAAGGTGTGACAGTCTGCTTTCGTGAAGATTTATGGCCATGGAAACCTTACGGGTTCTAGTTTGTCCTACAGGGTAGCTATGAGTCGGAGTCCAGTTGATGGCAGTGGTTTGGGTACTTTTTATGATGTGGGGTTTGTGTCACTAGGTCATTGGTACTTGGTAAGTTGAAGGGTTGAACTCAGTAACAAACAGTATGTCTTTTAAGGAACATAACACTAAGTCTGCTGTCTTTTCTGTGTGGAACTGAAAATGCTGGCACAGAACATAAGGAATCAGGGACAGAGAATTCAGTCATAGATCTGGTGCTTGGAAAGAGCAGTGGTAATCTTGTTATGTCATTATAAGCCCTGGTGGTGCTGTTTAGGACTGCTAACCAAAAGGTTCAAAGCCATTAGCCACTGAGAGGGAGAAAGATGAGTCTCTGCTCCTGTACAGATTTACAGCCTCAGAAATCCTATGGGGTTGTTGCTACGAGTCAGAATTGATTTGATGGCACTGGTTTTGGTTTTTCAGGGTTTTCATGTCATTCTCTGCCTTTTTCAGATCATTAGTTATCAGTTCAAGATGATATCCATTTCCAGCTTTTCTTGTGATGTAAATTGGATATGTATTTGGAAGGATGTAAGGGAGTCCTGGTGTGGTGTGACACTGTACCATAAGCACTGGCTGAACTTCTAGCCACAAGGTTGGTGGTTCAAACCCACCAGCCAGCCACTCCTCAGAAATGCTATACAGGGTCTACTGGACAGCACTTAACAACAACAGGAAAGATTTGATGTTGTTGTTGTTAAATGCTGTTGACTCAGTTCCAAGTGTTTCCGAGGCTGTAAATTTTTGCGGGAGCAGAAAGCCTCATCTTCTTCCACGGAGGGGAGGGACTGGTGGGCTCAAACCACTTACCTTGCATTTAGCAGCCCAATGTTTATCCTACAGTGCCACACAGGCCTCCAATTTAGGGCAACAGAAATTTTTAGGGTCATGAAAATAGCTGTCTTACATAGAACAGCTTTTTTTAAAAAAAATAGCAATTTTCTGTATTGTGATTTTCCTATAGTTTTGTAGTAATGTTTGGGTAAAAGTGTCTATTGCAAATTTTAATTTTTCTAAGAAATTATTTCTTAAGGAATAACACTGTTATTGTTGTTGCTAAGTTCCTACTCGTAGTGACTCTGTATAGGGTTTCTGAGTTGCAACTGGTGGGTTAGTAGTCCAGTGCTTATCCTATAGTGCCACTAGATGGTAGTAAAAACCTACACAAAATAGAAGATGGAAACATTATTTTATTCTTTTTTTTTTTTTTTTTTTTTTTCTTAAGTGATGTCTTTGCCTAAGTTCTCTATAGGAATTTAGAGCAGAATTTAGTTTTGCAAGTTATTTTAGAAATATCTGACAATAACTGTCTACTTATGCTTGTAGAAATAAAAGTTTTAAACATTTTTTTATTACATTTCTTTCCTTTTAGTTGACATTAGATAACAGCATATGTTACATTTTAGTTATTAAGTTTTTATTTTGAATTATAGTTGTGTGGTTATAGTCCTGAGCAAACATGTGGCTCATATAATGTTGTGCATCCAGAATCGTAGTGGTGGTGATGTGCTGTGGCGTTGGTTCAGGATCTTAGCAACCCTGCATAGGGTTTCCAAGCCTACAAATCTTTACAGGAACGGAAAGCCTCATCTTTCTCCCGCGGAACCACTGGTAGTTTTGAACTGCTGACCATGGGATTAGCAGCCTGACTTGTAACCAACGTACTACCAGAGCTCCTTGTGTATCCAGAGTAGCTCATCTTTTTTTCACCCAACAAGAAGCCGTAGTAGCTTTATGAATCAGAGTAGCTCATCTTGATTGCAGTACATGCTACTGTTGTTAAGTGACATCGAGTCCATTCCAACTCAGCGAACACAGAGAACTATTTGAATCTCATTAAGAGAAAAACATTTTTCTTAATTGCAAAATAATATGTAGTTGTAGAAATTCAGACAAAATAATATACTAGTAAAACCCTTTGGCCAAAGCAGTAGAGTATTACTTGATTTTAACATATTACATCAATGTGGAGTAGGTTGGTGTTACTTTTTGGGGGTTAGCCAACTTTTTAGGGTGTCCCTGTAGATAGATAGCTAGATCCCTGTTCAAACAATAAAAAAACGAAGTTATTTAAACTAAAAATGAAACCGTATTATAGACTGAATTAAAATTCTCTCTTCCTTCTTTTCATTGCTCTTATCAGTAGATAGAGTGAACCCTGGTAGCGTAGTGGGTTCACTTTGGGCTGCTCATTGCAAGGCCAGCAGTTTGAGTACACCAGGTGCTCCGAGGGAGAAAGGTGAGGCTTTCAGCTCCTGTGAAGATTCACAGCCTGGGAAACTCTTTCGGGGCCACTGTAAGTAGGAACTGACTTGATGACCCACAGTCATCCAGCCAGTCATCAGTAGTTATAAAATCAAAACAAAAGTGACTTAAAGGAAATGTTTAAGTACTTGAATTGTTTGTTGGTGTCTGCTGCTGGTTTGTGATTATCTATAGATTTAATTTATATGTATTCTACCTCAGTAGTATGGCAGTAGTTGAACACACTATTCCTAACCCTGTATTTTTTCCTATTCCTTAGATCTTTGTAAAAACTTATAAATATGAATTACTAGGAAGAGCATGAATAATATTCTATCATTGGAAATTTGTAGAGGAACTTAAAATTAGACTAATTTCCAACATTTTCTTACTCAGGTAGTGTACTCTCCTTTAGTCTTAGAAGGCAAAGTGAATTCTTGTATTCAAAAAACAATTTTTTTGGTGTATTGAATTTTAATCAACATTGTACCAAAAAAAAAAAAAGGCCTATAGAAAATGTAAATTTCCATCCAGCACTTGTTTTTGTTTGTTAGCCTCTCCATTTTTGCTCTTTGGAGGCAGGCACTTTTAAAATTCCCCTTTTCTCTCTGTCCCCCATGTAACTGTTAAAGGAGTCCCGGTGGTTTAGTGGGCTTCGTGGGAGAAAGATGAGGCTTTCTTCTATAAAGATTTACAGCCTTGGAACCCCTTTACAGGGTCACTGTGAGCCGGAACCAATTTGATGGCAGTGGTTTTGGGTTATGCAACAGTTAAGGATCCCTGGTCCTAAACATAACACGTGCTCTGTGGGAGACAGATGAGGTTTTCTGCTCCCATAATGATGTACAGCCTTGGAAACCCTATACAGGGTTTCTCAGAATCAGCATCGATTTGATGGTAGTGGGTTTGGTTTGGTTTGAATGTGTTAGCTTTTTAAAAAGTGATAGACTTTTTTCCCCCCTTGGGCTATTGCGGTATTTTAAGGATTTGAAGAACTATTTTGTTCTCCAAACAGTAATAAATGAAATAATATTCGTTTAAACTTTTCTTGAGATGATTTTGTTACTAAATACTAGATGCTGGGATAAAAAAAGAAATTAGTTTCTTGATTTTTTTTTTTAAATGAAAGCCATACTTTTTACTGGGTATGAGAATAGTATGTTCATTGTATGTCTGTATGTATATATGCTTATATACATATAAGCATTTATTTAGTATTAATTTTCATGGGTGTTTTTAATCCCTTTCCCTTCAAGATAAGCCATTTCTTCCTCTTTTTATTTCTTTTCCTTTGTTTTATTTGAACAGTTATACAAAGATAAATTTTCAAGGAACTTTTAGAATAGGGGTGGGCAATACTAGACACATAAGTCTGATAGTATACACATGGAGGAGGCTTTCAAATTGCATTGACTGGTCCAGAATAAAATCAAGCTACTTTGGCTTTTTTCCATCTGCTAGGGTCCTGTACTAATAGGAAGTTCTCAAGGTGGTGTCAACATTGAAGATGTTGCTGCTGAGAGTCCTGAGGCCATAGTGAAGGAGCCTGTTGATATCGTGGAAGGCATCAAAAAGGAGCAAGCTCTCAGGGTATGTTATCATCTGAAAACTTTCTAGCTTATGATTGGAGAATTATAACACTTAAAAAAATTAACTCTGTACAAGTGAAATGATTGCCAAAATTTTTCTTTTGAAATTTTAAGAATTTCAAGATGCAAATAGAAGGCTAGTGTCTTATTTGAAATCTGAATAAGAATATCTTGTTTCAGTATTTTTTTAAATAAATATTTTTCTTCAAATCCCCCATAAATATTTCATTCTTTAAAAATAGTCACAGTACCTTAAAGCACCTAGTAAAATTTATAATAATTCCTTAAAATTATCATTTACTCAGTCGTTCTATTTTTCTAATTGTCTCAAATGACCTTCAGTTTTAGTTTGTACCAGGATCCATGGATAGCGCACTCATTACGATGGGTTATTGTGTCTCTTCAGTCTTTCAGTATTCTATGTGTTCCTCCTCTCTTGGTCTCTCCATGCTTTCTCTTTCAAATTTATTTGCTGAAAAAGCTGGGTGATTATTCTGTATCATTTCTCAGTCTGGATTTTGCTGTTTTCCTCCCCAGGATGGCATTTCACATGCACCTGTGCCCCCTCTATTTCCTGCAAATTGTATGGAGTGGAACTTTTAAGAGAGGCCAAAAATGTAATATAATGGGCTTCAAAAAAAGTTTGAGGAAAAATGGAATTAAAAGGTAACAGGGAATTTTTCCACTAACTTTTTGAATTCCCTATATAATGATTATCTTGGAGGTAGAACATATAGACAGTGTAATGACACTGGCAGTTTGAGCACACCAGCTGCTCTTTGGAGACAGATGAGGCTTTCTGCTTCTATAAGGCTATATGGCTCAGAAACCATGTACAGGGCAGCTCTGAGTCAGCACTGGCTCACTGGCAGTGGGCATGGTTGGACTTGGATGGAACAGTTATCTCAGTGTGCTATTTATGCCAGGTGGCAGTCAGGCTATGCAGTTAATAATTATATGTGGAGTATAGAAGCTCAGCAGTGCTGATCATGGGAGGAAGTACTGCAAAAGTACTTCCAAGGTCAGGGATGTAGTCTTGTGCCCCCTGCCTGTGTGCTCTCTTCCTTTGCTGCCACCACTGCCTGTTCAGGCCCTTCTTGTCTCTTTCTTAGACCTCTGTCGTCACTCGTTAACAGGTATCCCTGTCCTGTCCTTGAAGGAGTTGTCCCTGCTGAAATCACTTCGGGGGCTTTCTATGCCCAGAATCTTCTCAGGGTAGGGTTTCAGTCTTGGTAGTTCTGAAAGCTCTCCAGGTGATTCTACTCTGCAGACAGCATTGAGAATCGCTGATTTAGAAAGATTACAAACCAACTGAAATTACTAACGTGAAATCATAAAGACACATGCTAGCTAGTCCAGTTTTGCTCTTCCCTTCTCTAGCTTTCCTTTCTTCTCCTTTCCTCTATTCACTACATTGTTAAGCTACTTGTTACCTTAGCGCACTTTATCCTTCATGTCTCGGTGCCATTGCATGCCTTTTGTTGGAATGCTCACTTCTTTCTTTACATTAAAACTCCTGATGTCTCAGATATCACTCCTTCAGGGAAAAAATGTGTTTCTGAGACTTTCCTGGTAATTACACTTTTCATATGGTTGCACTCATCTTGCCATATTAATTTTTTATGACTCAGGAAATTTCTTGGTAGGGACACAGTCTTATATATCTTTATAATAGATCAGAGGTTTGATTTCCTTTGGAGTTTATGGACTCTTTAAGAACCTGATGAGGGCTATGGATAGCTTCTCAATGCTAAATATTACCTCCAGTTTCAGCTGTGGAATCGGGACCTAGGCGAGTGGCAAACTGCTGGACCTCTCTGAATCTCTTTCATTTCTATAAAATGGGCATAATACTTACCTTGTGAAGATTTTGAATATAAAGTTTTATTTAACTTATTAATAATTGTTGTGAAGTGCAGTCGAGTCAGTTCCAACTCATAGGGAACCTGTCTAGGGGTTCTGAGGTTTTAAATCTTTAAGTAAGCAGAAAGCCTCATCTTTCTCCCATGCAGTGGCTCGTGTACTCAAACTGCAGACCTTGTGGTTTGCAATTTAGTCCTTATCGTGTGGAGCCATTGCGCTCCCAACCTACTAATAGTGGTGGTGGTGGTGGTGGTGATGTGCTGTGGAGTTGGTTTTGACTCATAGTGACCCTGTATAGGGCTTCTGAGGCTGTGAATCTTTGCGGGAGCAGAAAGCCTCATCTTTCTCCCACGGAACCACTGGTAGTTTTGAACTGCTGATTTTGAGATTAGCAGCCTAATTTGTAACCGTTACGCTACCAGAGCTCCTTTATGAATGAATAGTTGTTGTTGTTGTTAGGTGCCGTCAAGTCGATTCCGACCCATAGCGACCCTGTATAGGGTTTCCAAGGAGCAGCGTAGTAGTAGCTGCTGCTCAGTGATTAGTGCTTATTGCTTACATAATTAAGTTTTTTTTTTTTTTTAATTTAAAGTAATTTCATGTTGATTAGACATACACAAAATGTGTATAATAAAAAGATAAATTGCTTTCAGCTTGCACAGAAGATGGGATTTCCACAAAATGTTCTGGATTCTGCAGCAGACAACATGGTCAAGCTTTACAACCTTTTTCTGAAATATGATGCAACCATGGTAGAAATAAATCCAATGGTAGAAGATTCAGATGGAGCTGGTAAAGTACTTTTTTTTTGATCAAACATTCATTGGACCTTATTCACCTTCAGTGAGAAAGTTGAACTTATTAAGTAAGGGAATTCATCCTTAAAATGCTATTATTTTATAATGAAATGAATGTGAACATATATTAAAGACACCCATTTAAAAAAAAAACATCTTTAGTATATATACAAGGAGGCTTCAAAAAGTCTGAAAAATTCCATTAGCTTTTGATTCTGTTCTTCCATGAACTTTCTGAAACCCTTTCATAGATTCATGTGTATACCAGAGGGGTTAGAACTGCACTGTCCAATATACTGGTTACCAGCCACATGTATAAATTTAAATTAAAATGATCTGAGAGCCACACAGGGTTGCTGTGAGTCACAGCTGACTCTACAGCACTTAACAGCAATAACAAGATTTTTTTGGCCAGGAAATGTGTTTTATTGACAACCAGGGACATAGCCATAAGAAAGAGGAGCATATAGGACCTTAAACTAAAATCCAGTAGCCAACAAGGGCCCTTTGGGCCAGGAACACTGCATCCTGGGGTCCTCAAAGTCTCCCACTAGTAGACACACAAAACTGAACATCCAGGGGAAGGGACAGTGGCTCTGGGGTCCTAGAGAATGAGAGGATATATGATGCCTCAATATGAGTGACAGGGTAAGGAGGTATAGTGGAAGAAGGTTCCATCACTGCCAAACCCACCTCCTCCTTCTCTCAGAGCCAACATCAGGTGGAGGACTGAACTGCCTAGGGTCTTGTAATCAGCAGCTGTCTTCTCGTCATTCATCTGTTTGCCACTGTAGATGAGTCGCTGTTGCTGTGCGGGATTTCCCCCTTTCTCCTCCACACACTCCTTGATTTCACTCCACCTTGTCTGTGAGTTCAATGTCAATTTCAATCTCCTATCCTGTCAGTATCTTCACTTTAATTAGCATCTTCCCAGTTTAGAGCTGCACACAGATTGACTACTGGTTCTACCGCTGTGGTCTTCGCTGCCACTCAATAACAAGATTTAAAAAGGAATCCTGGCAACATAGTGGGTTACACATTGGACTGCTAACTGCAAGGTTAACAGTTCAGATCCACCAAGCCACTCAGTGGGAGAAAGATGAGGCTTTCTCCTCCTGTAAAGATTTATAGCCTCGGAAACTCTTTACAGGGTTGCTATGAGTTGAAACTGACTTGACAGCACGCAGCAGCAGCAAGGTTTTAAAATTTAGTTCTTCAGTGGCACTAGTCACATTTCAAGTGCTCAGTAGTTGCATGTGGCTGCCACATTGGACAGTGCACATAGTTTCATTATCTGAGATAGTTCTGTTGGGCTGTGTTGGGGTAAAGTGTCCAGTGTGGTGGTAAGTAAATAGTTGTATAATCTGAGGAATTAGTTATCTTGGTCTCCACAAGTTTTATACTCTAGAGACATCTTGGATCTTTATTATACAAAGCATATCGACTCTTGACACTTAAGTCCTTTTATTATCTTTAGCCTTGAGAGAAGTGAGAAGATTGGCTTGTCGCATTGACAAGTCTTCTTTTGCATTTTCTTAAAGGTAAATCAGATTCTGAATCATCATGTCTTCCATGTAGTTTTGTGTTTTTTTAATATAAATTTCTTCATTCTTAAGTTTTTCTTGATATTTTATATTGACTGTTTTCTATTGCTGTAGTTTGATTTTGGTTTTAACTGTCTTCATTTCGCATTCTAATCTTACGCATTTATAAATCATCTTTTACTTTTATACTTATAATTAGTTATATTCGTTATCATAGAAATCAGTCTTTGGTTGGCCGTTTATATTGGTAGATAGTATAAGACAGAACATTGAGTAAATTCTCTGATAGTTTATAAAACAAAATTTTTAAGACTAAGGACTGGTACATTTTAAAAATGTAGAGTTCAGTGAAGGAGAGTTATCTGTATAAACGTTTATGTTATTTTCTTACTGTGCAACTTAAGAGAGAGGAATAATATTGAAAACAAAACCCTTACATTCTTTTCACGTGTGCAACTCTATACCCATGTTCTGTCATTAATGGAATGATCTCTTATAATTTAATAACTAATGTTTCTTTTCTTTGTTCTTAGTTTTTCCTTCCTTTGTATGCATTGATACATATTTTGAAATA